GTCTGAAAACTGACAAAAGTGCAGGGCTAGAGAGATGGCTCAGTGGCTAAGAGCACTGGCTGCTTTTGCAGAGTACCTGGGTTCAAATCCCAGCACCCACATGACAGCTAACAGCTCTAATTCCAATTCCAGGGGAGCCAGCACTCTTTCATGACCTCCACAGCCATTGCATAGCATAGGTGCACTTACACACATGCAGGCAATGCACTCACATATATAACATAAAAACAATAAATAAAATACTTTTTAAAAATTGACAAAGTGGCATTATCATGATTTATTCTATTGTTTCAGAAAAATAATTTTGCATATGTAACATTCTACTATATAATCAAAAGGAGATAATCTGCCAATAAAATAGAGGAAACAACTAAAAAATCCTCCCCAAATATATCGCTCAAATATCTAATAAGACATATGCTACAATCAAAGCTATATACTTCCTTTTTATTAAAGCAGGAAATACTGGAAAAGAAGAACAATGGTTTTCCACCAACAAGTTAGAGAATTGGGGCAGATTATCCCCAAGGCTGTTGTCACTGCTAAACTTGAAGTACAGATGCAGTTATGTAGTGGGACTATTCAGACTTTTAAAAATGAGATGCATAAAAAATTAATCTTACAGTAATAGAAACCTCAAAAGTAAAAATAGACCACTTACAATATAGGCAAACTTCATCCTTCTTGTCCTTGACTTACAACCTTTGCTTTCCTGTAAGCCTAGAATAAGTATTTTTAATAACATCCAATTAATCATCACTGCGCTTTAAGCAGAGTGATGATTTATTCTCAGAATTGATAATAAGAATGTTAAGAACTGTACAAAGACTCACTGAATAAACAACAGAGTGAGGTAAAAAGAACAGGTGTCAGATGTAACACACTTCCCTGGGCTAATGCTGCAGAACTCAGACCCAGAGAAGTTGAACAGAGACATTTACCTTTTCTAGATGGCGTTTCGAGACTTACCATGATCAACAATAATCTCTGCTTTGTTATATTCTAGTGTAAATGTTGCATCTTTAAAATATCAAATTCATGATGTTTTCTAAACAAATAGTAATTTTGAAATGCAACATAATACTCAAACATTCCTGTAAATCTCCCAGTCCTTACAGCTCAGAATCTCCTAAACTTCCACAGACCGAAGAGTTTTGTTTTGAATATATTTTCTATATACCTGATGCATTTAAGTTTTGTCCTCTGCACTAAGATGTGCTAAAGGAAGCCCCGCAGGTCTTGTGATGAGGTCAGGAGGACTGTGCATCTCTGTCCTTCCAACGTGCAATTGGAATGTTGAAAAATGAAAGAATATAGAGGCTTCTATCCTAATGCTGGGGAGTGTATCTTACCACAGAACTGAGGAGCCACCCTTTAGAAGTCTGTGATGTTACCATGCAGTGGGAATAATTGCATGTGACATTTTTGTCAGTAAAATAGTAGTTTTACCAACTAGTTGGTACATGTGAAAACAAAATGTTACCTGACATCCACTAAGACACTGAATAAAATAATTTATCAACCTTCAAATCTGTCTTTAAACACTCATCAAATCCTCTCAATAGTCACCAAGTCTCAGGACTATTTCTTTCATGCACAAGGCGCTCACTGTTTCAGGATATATCGTAATCTATTTAGAAGGCTCAAGTGGTTTTCTCAATTGTAGTGTGTTACTCTCTACTTGCTCAGCACACATCACGGTGGTCACTCTATTCTTTGGACCTTTCATTTTCATATACATGTGGCCATTCAGCAACTTCTCTGCAGACAAGCTCCTGTCTGTGTTTTACACAATTTTCACCCCACTGTTTAATCCTCTTATTCACACACTGAGAAATGGAGAGATGCAAACAGCTATGAAGAAATTGAGGAACAGACAAGTCATTTTTCACTGAATACCTAGTCCTGAACATAATGGTTCTTCAAATAATTTAAAGTGATTTTCACTTCTTCTTTACAGCAAATCTTCTACTTAGAAAACATATAAACAGATTTACAGTAGTTTGAATTTTTATTTATTTATTTTTATTTTAGTTATATGAGTGTTTTGTCTGCATAATGTTAGCGCACCTGTGTGCAATCCACATAGAGGCCAGATTAGGGTGTCAGAGACCCTAGAACTTGAGTTAGGTACCATTGGTAGTTGCCATGTGGATGACGGAAACCAAACTATGGTCCTCTGCAAGATCAACCAGGTAGTGATCGACCATGAAAGTGGAAAAAGAATTACAAGAGGGTTGATGAAAAAAATTCTTAATATAACAGTGCAGATAATTAATGGCATAATTTAAATCCAGTCCTTTGTTTCTTCAGCATCTCTGCTAGGTTGTTTAGACCATGACACAGCCACTTAGTACTCATTGAATGCAAGCTTGGGTAACTGAAACCTTTACCATCGAGGAGCAGTCAGGTCAAGATACTGATCACTAACTATTTCACTGGGCAAGGAAGTACAGAAGTGACTCCAGGGGGTCTGTTAAATTCCAGCCATATTCTTCCAATCCACATGAAATCATAGTTCCTCGAGGTAATTACGTGTATTACTCATTCACTCACTCTTTCATTTTTCACATATCTTTCTTCCTGACTATTCTCATATGGCCACAAGATTGTCAAACAAATTTGTTGCTTTTTTTCTGAGATATGGTGTTCCTGTAGCCTTAGCTTTCCTGGAACTTAGACCAGGCTGGCCTCTGTTCCACAGAGATCCACTTGTGTCTGCCTCCTGAGTGCTGGGATTAAGGGCATGCATCATCACACGTGGCTTTGTCAGACATATTTTAAGACCTATACCACCCTGCTGCTCAAAGATTGGTTCTGTGAAAATCATAATCTACTCACTAAGGGAAGTTTTGTCCTATGAGTCAAGAGACTCATCTGTAAGTGGAATTATAGTAAGAGAAAGAAAAAGAATATTCAAAAGACGATGCCCAAGAATGATGGGCATAGGAGTCAACCTTAATTTTTCTCTTATTCTTTGGAACTGTTTGTTTTAGTTATTGATAACACAGCACTGCATATTAAATTCCACTTCATTGAGTATATCACACCTTCAAGTCTTCTGTCAACAGAGACTGTGGTGAGTTTCACTGAGTTGCACTAAGGCATGTGCACATTTAATGATACTGTCTGCACAGGAAAAATTCATTCCACCAAAGTCCCACCTACTGTCACACCGTTATCACTGCAAATGTATGCCATGACAAAGGCAATCTTTGTGGAGTCCATCTTTTATAAATAAAACTCACTCAGTAAAATAATAGTGTTCCAAATAAAATTGTCATCAGAGAGGAAAAAACATGGCTGGACTAGAAATCAACTCCAAAAGGGACAAGACATTACCACCTCTGTGCAAAGATTAATTTGATGTAATTGATTAGTCAATAAATGGCAAGGTTTTCAGATTCAAATCTCTTCTGATGACAAATCAAGTCTAGAGGATCAGTAATAACAACAGATGTTTAAACTTTAATTAAAGGGAATCTAATGTTCTCAAACATATCACAGCCTAAACCATGACATCTGTGTCTGTACTCTAGACATGAACTGGGAGAACAGACAACAAAAATACCTGACTGGTAATCCTGCTCTCCTTTTTCTTTGTTACCTTGTCTTTGGAGGACAGCATGTGTGTGTGTGTGTGTGTGTGTGTGTGTGTGTGTGTGTGTGCATTGATGTTGTAACTAGGACCCAAAAATGGTGCTGATACTTACAGGTCTGTCTTCATTTCTCTTCACATGTTTTATCCGATTTCCCAATGTTACTGCACTGTTACTCCTATTATTACAAACTAGCCACATTATTTCTTCCTACCCATAAATTCTCAATTATTTTTATCCACATCCAAAGTTGGCCATGAAGTAAAGTGCTCACGGGCATGCATGAATCGAAAGTATCTCACCCACTTACTTTCTGGTCGCTCTGAGTGAACTTTCAGTGTAGCAGCAGCACATTTATTGTCATAAACCAGTATGTATGGAATTCATTTATGAGAACAAATATAAGGTTTTTCTTTTCTGTGCAATGACCTTGGCAACCCTTTCATGAGTTTAAAGCTCTGAATTGAAGCAAAGATGTCTATGTGACAGAGTTACACGACGTAGGGTGAGGAATACTTGGTCATGCAACTTAATAGTGCCTTGGAATCTGCTTCAGCCCAAGTCATTGTAGGTGTAACACTTACATTGTTTTGTTGTATTTATTGTTGGAAATTGTGCCTTCTAAATAATGAGCAATCTAATTATAAAATAGTATATAATCTATTGTCAGACCTCTTGTTCTTATAAAGACCCATGAACATCTTAGCACTTACTTTTTAAGCAACAGTATAGGTCTGCCTACAAGCTGCATGGACTTCTCCAGGAAGCTGATACTCTTCCATACCTCTTGGGCCTTTCTAAGGGACCTATACTTGTCCCCACCTATTGCCATTGTCTAGATTTAATTTGATTTTTTGTTTGTAAAACACAGCTATTAGAGATCCTGGTACTGAAGAATGGACTATGTGTAGGGAGTCATTAAATGAATTGTACTGTAATTGATCAAATAGCGGAGTCAGTGCTCAGTATTCACAAGAAGCTGTATTGTGGCAGAAGGAAAACAGGAGGATAAACTGGAAACAGGAGTAGCTGCTCATCACTGCTCTCTTGCTTTTAAACTTATTTTACAGAATGTATTTCTTTATCTACAGACAATTTGCTTTATTGCTTGAATTTAAACAATAAATTATTTATCTATACAAGGTCAAATGTGTTGTTTAATTAAAAAAATGCTCTCATCACATCAACTTGAATCATAAAAGCTCTTTATTTTAAAACCATATTAAATTTTAAAACAAAAATAAAGGAAATAAAAAACAACAAAAATGACAGAAAGAAGATAAAATTTAATGAAATATGTTGTAATTTTTACTATCACAGCCTACAATTTTAGTTGAATTCATATGTTGACTATCTTTAAAAATAAAAACAATTTACACTGGAAATTCTACAGACAAGACTAAAACAGTTCCCATCCTATTAATTCACTTGGTCCAGAAAAAGAATGTTCCTTATTACCCCAGAAACCTGGCCTGGTTTCAGATACCGGCCCTTCAGCTTTGACATCGCTGATTTCATTTCTTTGTTTCTTAGAGTGTAGATAACTGGGTTTAAAATGGGAGTAAAGATGGTGTAGAACACAGCCAGGATCTTGTCAATGGAATAGCTGCTGAAGGGCCACACGTAGATGAAGATGCACGGTCCAAAGAACAGCGTGACCACAGTGATGTGAGCAGTTAGGGTGGACCGGGCCTTGGCCATGCTCGCGGAGGAGCGATTCCGGACTGTAATGAGAATCACGGTGTAGGAGACAACCAAGAGGAGGAAGGAACTCAGGGAGAGAAAGCCACTGTCTGCAACTATTAATAAGCTGACAACATAAGTGTCTGTGCAAGCTAGCTTGGTCACCAGCGGAAGATCACAGAAAAAACTGTCCACCTGGTTAGGACCACAAAATGGCAAGTTAACAGTGAATGCCAACTGGCTAGTGGTGTGGATGAAGCCCACACACCAGGAGATGATGACCAGAGTGATACACACGCGGCGGCTCATGATGGTCATGTAGTGGAGAGGCTTGCAGATTGCAACATAGCGATCATAAGCCATGGACACAAGGATAACCATCTCACTACCAGTGAACAGATGAACAAAGAAAATCTGAGCCAGGCAGGCTTCAAAAGAAATAGTTTTACGTTCGACCAGAAGGTCTGAAATCATTTTAGGAGTAGCAAAAGAGGCAACACATATATCGATGAAAGAGAGGTTGGCAAGCAGAAAGTACATGGGGGTGTGAAGGCGGGGCTCTGAGGTCACAGTGAGGATGATGAGGAAGTTGCCCAGCAGTATTGCTAGGTAGAGCAGAGAAAATATCATAAACAAGAAACGTTGCACTTCCTTTGAACTGGACAGTCCCAGCAGCACAAACTCTGTCACCTGTGAATAATTTGTTTCATTCATTGACTTTGGAAGTGATTTGTCTTCAGGTATCTGAATAAGAACAAAGTAGAAACTGGTCAATGAAGTGACCCTGACCTGCTTTGCCAGATCCAGTTCAAATGTCTAAGATTCTAGTTAGTGTCTTTCTATACATGGGGTTTCTTGAATGATTAAAAATTATAGAAATAATGCAATAAATTTTGTATGAATCTTGTGAAATTTCAAATACAGGAAAAATTAACATATGCTTGAAAATCCCAAGTACACTCATCCTTGAAATGGGAAGAGGGACAGGTAGTAAGTGGACTGCCGTGTTTGTACCACTGCTTCTTGACGCAGCTGTAGCAGAGTTCACTGTGTGAAAACTTACTGAAATGTCCACTTGTTATTGACTCTTTGCAAACATGTATTGTGTTTATAAAGTTTATAACAGTAATGAGAGAACACTGCATTTATGGTAGTTAGTGAATCCACAAAATCAATCTTCCTCATGAGGAACTATAGTTTATTTCCTCCTCTCCAATTACAAACTTTGTAAATGAAAATCCTGAAAAAAACTGGAAAAGCCAGCACTCCACAGAATTCTCCTTCCTGTAACTCAGCTCCTTGTGGATGCATCTTTTAGTTAGAAATCTGATGTCTTTGTAACTTTACACACAACTACCAGTGTTAATGACCATCAGAATTTTATTGGGTTCTGCATAATATTTTAATTTGGAAATTCTTTTAAAAATTATTTTGAAAATATTGGGTACTTATAGTAGGAATTTAGACTGTGATTTTTTTTCTCTTCTACCTAGTTAATTTGTTCTGTTTTTCTAAACTTATTCCTTCTTGAATAAGGTATCTAGAACTTCCAAACACGTGGAGAATTAAGAAAAATGGAAAGCAATTTGCAAAGAAGCATTAAACTCTATGAATTTAAAAATCACCTCAAACTTGGTCTTGATACATATCTCTGTTTTTCTTATCTTTAGCCACTGGAAATTATCGACATCAGTGTATTCTTAAATCATAATGCAGATTTTCTAATATCTGCTTGAGTCTCCTTCTTCAGAAGTCTCAACTCTTAGACTCCCTGTCATAAAGGATTTCTGCAGACAGGGTAGGAATTGAGACCAATAAAATCTACTTGCTAGCATGAGCAAAGTAAAAAATAACCAGAAAGAACTTTCTAGGTGGAGAAAGGGTGGCAAAAAGCATTTGGGAGCAGAGGCTTTATATAGAACATATAATCCAGTTATGCAAGAGAATCAGCACAGGAATCACCCTCTGACAGCTCCTCCACACTCCTGCTGAAAGGACTTCTTCCAGTTCCACTAGGTTTTGAGGATTCTTCAAAAACACTGAATCCCGCATTTCGTGGACAAAATTGTTGGGCAAATCAAGAACCAAGTTTCTTAATGTCTACAATGAAAACAGTAGACACATGAACTCTAAATTTATTTCCTACATAAATCCTCTTTTATTATTTTCTATTTTATAAGTACTGGAGTGACCCTGAGCTATTACATTTAAAATTGGTTTCCCTAGATATAAATTTCCAGGATTATTGATCTCTTGTTCATTCAGGGAAGTTGATGAATTCAATGCCCTTCTCAATAGCCCATTACATATTAGATGAAATTGACTATTTTATTCTCAGTAAATTAACTGTAAATTTTTAAAAGCAAAGCTACTGTAATAAACAATGATATGCTGAAAAATCACAATTTCTGTAATTGGGTGTCTATGAGACACTGAGTCAGTGTTTTAATATTTTAGGTCTCATCATCCTTAAATATTAAATACTTAGCAGATTACTCCCAGAAAACAAAAGCACCAGAAATATCTCCATTTATTATTTATGTAAGAATACTGTAATGCCTAAGAATTTGCAATTAATCCAAATGAAATAGTGTGCTATCTACAATTAGGAGAAAATTTATAATCTAATAATTTTGCATGAGCTACTTTGACTCATGCTAGAATGAGTTTCCAGTTCCATACACTCTTTAAGACCAATTTCTATTTTCTGTAGTATTTGAAGGTGAACTAATGATTCATTGTTTTGCAGAATGGTCCTCAAGTACCTCAGTTTTAAATTTTTAATAAATCCTTCTCCAGTTCTTCATATTTTCTAAGAAATAAGACATACAGCTATGGGGATTAAGTTATAAACTCTACGTTTCAAAAGAAGAAGAAATACATTCATTGTCTGTGGCCAAAAAGAACTGCTTTCCAGGAGGTGAGAGATACTTGGCTGTGGGAATTCTAACAAGCTGGGCGTGAACTTGAAGCAGTCAAGAATCTGAAATGAGGGAAAATGGTATTTAAAAGAAGTTTTATGATGTTTCAAAACATTCTGCTTCAGGGTTTTTCAAAACAGCGAGCCTACCCATAATTATGCTGCTTCTGTTCACAATAACGATTAATTATATGATTAAAAATAACTTTCAGAAGTTATTAGTGACATTGCATAATCATACAGCATAGACATTAAAGCCAATCATATGTCACTGAAAGTGATAAGAAATCCAAAGGATTGCTCTGCATTACAGCTTTCTGTGTAGAAATTTGCTTACACATCATAGGAAAATACAGCTTCCCATGTTAATCTCATTTTATACATCCAGAAAGTGGCATTGTTTCCATCCTTAGTTTTAGAATGACTTACCAAGAATACCGCAATTCTGCAGGAACCATTAGATGGGTGACAATGACTGGGAACCCATGCCGATCCCAACTGCAATGTTCAATCTTCACACTTTGGAACATCAATATTTTCAACACAGAGCTATAAGAGAAGTCAATGCAATGATTAGAAGCTAATTGCCAATTGACGTCACTGGACCGTAGTGACCAAGAGGCCCACAGGGGATTTGGGGTCACAAAAATTGCCTTCATTAAGGATAATTGCATGAGAGAGTTTTATTGGTTCACAAGAAATATAGTGAAATAACTTGAGAATTTTACAACTGGACCAAGAACCAGGACAAACAGAAATGTGTTATCTTGTTAGAGAACATATAGCATGGAAAGGAAAACAATAAGCAATTTTGTCAGTTTGTCTGTTGTCCTTCTGGGAGCTTTAGGGAAGGACTAGGGAAAGTGTCAACAATTGAGAAGCCATTGAAGCACTAATTGTTTGACCTCAGTTTTACTGACTGCTACAGACCCATCTTCTAACACCTTGCTTAACCTTCTTCCAACTCAACCACTCTGTGCCTCCCATAGGGATGAGCTTTGTGATTTATGATTCTTTACCTCTTTCCAGTTCCATCTTCAATATCCTTTCTTGATATCTGTTTTTTCCTACTCCCTTTTGCAGGCACTCTTAAAAAGTCCACAATTTCTTACTGTTTTTCTAGTTGTATGAAGGATGCCATTGGAATTTTGATAAGGATTGCATTGAATTTGTAAATTATTTTTGGAATTATGGCCATTCACACAACGTTAATTCTGCCAATCTATCATCTGATAGCTTTTTAAATTCTTTTCATTTTAATTTCTTTCTTCAATTTCCTACAGTTTTTATTGTCTGATCTTTCACATTCTTTGTGAATTTAATTCCTCGTTTATTAATTTAACCCCTAAATTCTTCTGAATGGCATGTTTTTCCTACTTTCCTTGTCTGCAAGTTCACTATTGATATACACAAAAACTGCTCTAATGTAGATTTTGTATCCTGAAAATATATTGAAAGTGTTTACTAAATCTAGTTTATGGTAGAATCTGTAGGATAGTCCAGGTATAGAAATATACCATCTTCCAATAGAGATAATTTCACTTCTCCCTTTCCTAGTTTCATCCCTTTTATACTTTTCCCTTACAAGACTTCAAGTACAATATTGAATAAGAATGGAGATAGTGGGAACCCTTGTCTCATCCAGATTTTAGTGGACATATTTTCAAAGTTTTCCTGTTTAGTATATATTATGGACTAAAGATTCGTCGTGTGTGTGTGTGTGTGTGTGTGTGTGTGTGTGTTCTGTCTAGACCTAATTTCCCCAGGACTCTTATGATGAGGGCATATGGAAAGACAAATGACCATGCATGCTCAAATCAATCAAAAGTTGAAAGAACACTCCTGGAGGTATCACAGTACCTGATCTCAAATTACGCTGCAGTGACAATGATAAAATACAGCCTGGTACTGCCACAAAAACAGAAATATAGATTAATGGAACAGTATAGCGGACCTGAAAATAAGCCCATACAGTGACACACCTAATTTTTGAAAAATGGTTAAAGATCCTGATGAAAAGACAGCTTGTTCAACAACTGTTCTGGCAAAACTGGGTATCTGCAGAAAAATGAATGTAGATTTACATCTCTCACCCTGAACAGAAACATCTATTAAAACGGAATCAAAGACCTTAATTTAAAATGTGAAACACTGAAACTGCTAAAGGAAAACAGAGAGAATGCACTTTAAGTTACAGGAATGGGCTAGAACTTTCTGAACAGGCCTCCATTAGCATAAGTATGGGAAGAATCAACAAATGGCTCTACCTGAAGGTAAAATGGGTTTGCCCAGGGTCTAAAGAGATGCTCGGTTTTATGAGCATGGGGTGATATTTTCCTGGATCCTAATACATTCTCTCCCTATTTATGTGAAATCAGTAATTCATCATTTGTTAGTTTATGTTACATTTTTGGCCCAGCAGCCATGTTTTTATATAATTTGAGATCTTTGTTATGATTGCTATATTACAGTCCTTTTATCAATATGCTATAATGTACTTGTTAATTCTTTTTTCATTTGGTACATAGCTTGATACCAATTTACTTGTACAAATAATAGGACTGCTGTAAACATTCTGTAACTCTCTTAGAAGGAAAACTCACCATGTATTATGCACATAACTTGTCCAATGTTAAAGGTGGGGCACCAAAACTCAGAAGGGCCCCACGACACAGGTGAGTGGACGTGGCCCACAAGGCAGAGCTTGAGGATTCGCCTGGCACTCAACACTGAGCGCAGCCAGGTGCGAGTTGGAGGTCAGATATGGTGGCTGCATTTCTTCCTTATCCCTCCCCTCTCCCTCTCCCTCTCCCTCCCCCTCCCCCTCCTCCTCCTAGACAAGCAGCTATGACTGCTTTTGCTCACTGATGCTCTGTCTTCTTCCTACAATCTTCAACCCTAATCACTCTATCATGCTAAGGATACCTTTTAAGACAAGCAAACTGAAGAGACAGTGACAAAGCAGAGAGTGTCTCACTTTCCAGAAAGATCTTGCTTAGTGATAATAGCTGGCTTAACTGAAGAAAAGGTTGGACTTGGTCCCAGAGCACGTCAGGAGTTCTGACATCAGCTCCAGTACTAGGAGCATAAGCATCCGCCCACAACCTGAGATTCCTCCAAGTGTGCAGGCTCACCATGTCCACTGCTCTGCCATAGCAGCTGTCCTTTGCTCTGTCCAGCTGGAACTGGATGAGGAGCCCCTGCCCTGGCTTTTGCCTGAGGCTCCCAAGGTCTGATGGCAGCAGCGGTGGGCCCAGGACCAGCCATATGTCATTCATGTTGGAAACATCTAATTTCCTTCAATCTCACCAGTTCTTGGGAGACAAGTCCCTCCTGAGTACTGAGCACAGAGCACCAGGGGAGCAGGATGGGTGCCTGTAACTCACACTCGCTCAGGCTCTGGTCTGGTATACAACAGATTCATGAAGGGCTTGGCAGACACAGACTGTGCCCTGAATTTTTTTTTTACTAAATTATAAAAATTATTTTTATTTATTATTTTTATTTTATGTGTATGAGTGTATTGCCTGCATGTATGTGAGTGCACCCATGTCATGCAATGTGGCCTAGGTCAGAAGAGGACTTTGGACTGCCCTGGAACTGGAGTTAATGATGGTTGAAGGCCACCATATGGGTGCTGGGAATCGAACCTGGGTCCTCAGCAAGAGCAATCAATACTCTTAACCACTGAATCATCTCTCGAGCCCCCCAAAATTTCATTTTTAAACTATTAATTTTCTATAAACTTACAGTCCCCAGGAACTAATATTCTCTATAAAAATGGCCAGGCATGGTGGAACACACTTATAATCCCAGCACTCAGGAAGCAGAGTCAGAAAGATCACTGCAAATTTGAGGTCAGCCTGGTCTACATAATGAATTCCAAGCCAGTCAAGAAGAATTGGGGTAGTTATTATGCCAGGCTTCTGAATTCTTGAGAGTAGATGTAATTCATGTCAGTGCTGGAAGAATGAACAGCATTAATTCGAATGTATGGGTTCTCCTACATTCAATGCTAATCAAGGCATGTGGTATACAGCAGGCTCACATAGTGAGTTTGTTTTCAGAGGGCAAGGGCCTTGGACTCTTTTATTAAAAAAAAAAGTACCTAATTGACCTGGAGTTCCAAATATTTGGGAGTCTGAGATATGAAGATCACAATTTCAAAGGCTGCATGGGTTACCCCAAGAGTTCAAGGCCAGCTTGGGTAACTTAGTGAGACACTGTCTGAAATGAAAAGAGGGTAGAGCTTATAAGAGTGGTAGAACAGCTGTCTATTAATGTGGAATACCTTGTGGTTAATCCTTAGTAGTACCATTACCACCACCACTACCAAATTTGCTTTATCCAGAATTTAGAGTGAGCTGAGAATTGAGAGTAGGAAAAGCCCAAATGATGAATGTGGGGCAGCTCCAAACTTGTCCTCTGCACTCAGATCAAACACCAAATGTTTGTAAGTTTCTACATCTTCCTGTATGCAGTGGTAGCTGTGCTTTACGCTAATGAGATTATAAATGACACCTTCTGTATACAGGCATTTGTCACCTTGCTTTCCTTAGGAAAATGGAGTTTCCCTGGCTTGTTATGATGAAGTAATGACGTGGATTTCAAAGTGCAGCTGGGCAGCAACCTGGCATTATACAGGTTTTTATTACTGCTTATATCAATAAAAAATAGTTACGTCTGCTTTAACAATGAAGCTGGAGAGTGAACTAACACATCACAACTGCACGAGCCATGTACACATATGTGACTTACATTTACTACCCTAATTAGTATTATGCATATTTAGTAAT